GATTCTATACATCAGACAACCCAAATAAACAAAACAGAAGCAAACAACACCAGCATCCTTGCTGATGCTCTTCGGCCACTATGAGGAAGCTGGTAGGACCTTTTCAAGGATGTGTTAGGCCTCCTGGTAAAGAAAGAGAGGAGAGGGCAGTAAGGGGGCTCAATGGGTAAAGGCACTTGCTACCAAGACTGACCACTTGAGTTCAGTCTCCAGGAACCACGTGGTGGAAGGTGAGAATGCAAATTATTTTCTGACCTCTACACAAGGACCGTGGCCCCCCCCCTTCAAGAAATGCAAATGAAAAAACAAAAAGAGATGAGGCAAAGTATGCCATATGTTGAACTGTTGGTTCATTTTCTAGAATTCTTTTCTTTTTGATTTTGCCTTGACTTTCTGTCCATGGGAGGAGATCCGTCCAGTTGGTTTTTCTGAACTTAGTGTACTAATTCATATGCTTAACAAATGAATGTAAAAAGACATTAGCATTTTGGTGATGTGTAAATGGTGCTGAGTTCTGAATGACAGGAACAGAAGAGTATTAAATGCCCTTATCTTTTCAGTGGCAGCTGTCCCTCAGGGTCTGTGGGGGTGAGTTCTAGGATCCCCGTGACAGGCCCCCTGAACATGCCCATGTTCAGGTCTCTTACCTAAAACACCACAGCACTGCACAGAAACCACACGTAGTTTCCCGAAGATCATCTCAGCATAATTCGTCACCCTGAAAGCAGTGGGAGTACTCTAGAAACATCTATTGTAACATGTTTGGCCCTCACGCACCTGCTACTCGAAATAACTTCATTCTGCCATTGGTTGGATATGTGGCCGTGGAGCCTGGGGCCTGGTTTATTATTTATTTATTTTACTTAGTCAAGGTGCCAAGTGGACAAGAGCAAAGCAATGATTTCTTTTTAAAATTTTTTTCTTTATTAATTATACTTTATTCACTTTGTATCCCCCCTGTGGTTCCCTCCCTCCTCCTGTCCCAATCCCTCCCTTCCTCCACCCTCTGCATTCATGCCCCTCCCCAAGTCCACTGATAGGGGAGGTCTTCTTTTCCTTCCTTCTGATCCTAGTCAATTAGGTCTCATCAGGACTGGCTGCATTGTCTTCTTCTGTGGCCTGGTAATGCTGCTTCCCCCTCAGGGGGAGGTAATTAAAGAGCAGGCCAATCAGTTCATGTCAGAGACAGTCTCTGTTCCTATTACAATGGAACCCACTTGGATACTGAACTGCCATGGGCTACCTTTGTGCAGGGGTCTTAGGTTATCTCCATGCATAGGCCTTGGTTGGAGTATCAGTCTCAGGAAAGACCCCTGTGCTCAGATTTTTTGGTTCTGTTGCTCTCTTTGTGGATTTCCTGTCCTCTCCAGATCTTACTGTTTCCCACTTCTTTCATAAGATTCTCTGCACTCTGCCCAAAGGTTGCCCATAAATCTCAGCAAAAGTGATGGTTTTTAAAAGTCACCTTTTTCCTATTTGTAATGATGGAAACAATAACAGCAACAAAAAATGCACCTAGAACTTAAGCCTTTAGAAGAACGATTTATTCCTGTTCATCTTGTGTCTCTCCTCCGTGTTGGACTTGGTCTCCCATCTGGCCTTGTGTTTTAGAGCTGGTTCTGAAGACATCTTTGTGATGACAGTTTTGTCCAAGGGAATATTCATAGGGTACCTTGAGGCCACGAGGTGACTGTGGTTGCATACTTTCATGGAGGCTTGCTCTTCGGCCTCTTGCTGATTTTCTTCTTGTGTGTGCATCTGTTGATTTAGTGAGAGTAGCAGCTAGCTAATTCCAGGTACCAGAGTATGGCCACAGGGAGAGTCTGAAGGCCATCACTGATGTTCTTCACATTTGTGGTATTGCATCTGGAGGAGGATGCAGCCAGGACTGGCCCCACTTTCCCTCATTTCACCAACTTTCCCATTGGTCAACAACCAGCAGGTGTCCAGCAGAAAGGATGTAAGAGCACCCTTAGTCTTTAGTTTTACAATAACTAACTAGGAAGGTATTGATTTTAAAGGCTTCAACTGAGTGGCGATATGACCAGGGGTAGATGGTCCCCTTTCCCCTGTTTACCAGCCCCCCTGTTCACCAGCCCAGAGTGTGTTTGCGGCTAGGGGATGTGATGGGCATATTATTTCTGCCCATGTGACGTGATCTCCACACTGTGCGGTGCAGAAGGGACTGTGATTTTCTGGGGCTCTGGGAGAGAGGAAGGAGAAGGTATTTAGGAAGTCAGAGCTTTATCTAACAGTGGGGATGTAAAACTGAGGCTAGCACTTCTGTTGGCATCTCTGTGCTCTGGGCGTGGCTTTTGAAATAAGGAGTACTTCTCCAGTTAATTCAAGAACCAGGGGGCTAGAGGATTTGTTTTCACTCTACTGTGTTTGGAAATATTCTGTCAGTCAAGACAGAAACTCTGGGCATCCCTCCTGACCCACGGGCTGCATATGTGCATCCCCAAATCACCATGGATGGAAAACCCTCGGCACACATAGGTACTCTAGTCAAACACTTGCTAATAACAAAGAAATTTAAAGCAGGTCTTTGGCCTGGATGTAAGGATGAAACCAGTCTGCATGCTCCTGAGGTGGTGTGCTCACTGACATTCACACGAATACAGAAACCTTGACGGGTGTCTGACGTGCTGATAGAGTGCTTTCAGTGCCTTCCACAGTTGACTGTGATTTTGGTTTTATAATCGTCAGAGCTGAGGGCATTGCTTTGCATAAATATATCTATAAAAATGTCAGAAATATGTCTAGATCATTTTAGAAATTGCTGGCAATTATATTCTAACCTCAACCCAAGATGTATTTTTTTTTTTAAAGTAAAACTCGAGTCAGAAACTCAGGTTTTTATGGAACTCAAATATTTTTTAAAATCAAACATTCTAACATAATAAAATCCAAAGATTTTCTAATTTGAAAAACTTACGTGTTAAAGTGGAAAATATTAAAGTCTTCGTTTCTCATAATGAAATGGTTTTGTTTTTATGAGAGCAGAAAAGTTTTTATGTATGGTGAAAACATGACAATTGATTGGACTTAACAGTCTCCAGTCTGAGCCAAGCTGCTTCAGGCAATGCTGGTTGGCTCTGTGCAGCTGAGAGCATGAGCAGTACGGAACACGCATGACGCATTGTTCGGAGCATGGCTGCAGTGAGGCCCTGTGAGGCAACATGGGAATGTGCTTGCCGCCAGAAGCACCTCAGATTAATTTTGAATCTCAGTGTCAATTAGTTTTGGTTGCTGCACATTTGGAGACATTACATAGTTGTCAGTTCTGTTTGTGGCCCCCACGTTCAGTTGCGTGATCCCACATGGGACCACACCCCACAGTTTAGGAAGCTGTGTCTTCAGTGATTCAGTGATGCAGGAGGATGTGGTGGATTCTGTGCACACACCCCACTTTTACGTAAGGAGACTGGAACACCCACAGATTTTGTGGGGCGTCTTAAAGCCAATCCTTTGAGTATTCCCAGGTGCCATGGATATTTTTAAAATGTACATTGAGAATGCTCTGCTTTAGAAATCTCCCAGGGATTGTTTGTTAGTTTGTTTGATTGCCAAGACAGGCTTTCTCTGTGTGGTCCTGGTTGTCCTGGAACTGACTCAATAGACCAGGCTGGACTTGAACTCAGAGATCCTTCTGCGTATGCCTACCGAGTGGCAGGCCTGCACTGCCGCTGCCCAGCTCTCGCAGGGATTTTTAAAGAACAGCCATTTTGTGAGTTTTGAGATCAGAATTCTGAAGGGTAGAAGCTCACACAGCCCCCGGGTGGAGGACACGCCTCAGGAGAGCGCGTGTGCTTTGCAGCTTGAGTGTACAGGCTTCAGGGTGTGATCCACGCAACAGGGTGCTTCAAGATGCCACTCACCGCTGACATTGCCAGTGTCACTGCATATAGCAAGTAGCCTATAGAAATCCGTTGACGTGAGATGCTTCTCAGAGCCTCTGCGTGGGCAGATGTCCCCGGGGAGGTCCCCATCCAAATGCTGAAAATGAGGACGGCCCAGTGGACCAGTTGTCCCGTGAATGCAGTGTCACAGAACACTCCTAGAACCTATCTGGACACCCTGAGCCGATTAGTGTTTTTGTGGTAAATCTTACATTCATCAAGGTGCTGCCTTTTCTTGACTTCATCCGTGACATTTCTACTTTGAATAGCTAGATTGTGGGGGAAAAAAAAAACCCTAATGAATATTGTCTAAAAGAAAAGTCAGTATTTTGATTTTCTCCCATTCCCCAAATTGTTTAGAATCTTTTGTGCTTTAGCCATCTTGAATAAGATATTCAAATGTCCTTAACTTGATGGAGTTAAAAACAGTTTTTGCAAAACGAATTGAAGCAGTTAAAAGTGGATTTTTTTTTTTTTTCATTTTTGGTGGTAAACAAGTCCAAAAAATTCATCTGATAGTGAAAATATAAAATCTAGTGTGAAGCCTTACAGCTTCTACTCTGACAGTAAATGCAACTGTATACAAGTTCATTGAACCGTGTAGTTTTTGATTAGTGTTAATTTCCATTGTGCCTCTTTTTACTTGCAACTTTTTTTTCTAAATAATGAAGTTTAAAATAAAAAAATGATTTTCTTATTAGGCTTATATGGTTCAAACATCCTTCATTTGGAAGTCTGAACTCTGAAATGTCCCCACATTTAAACCTTTTTCAGCACTAATATGATGTCACAAGTGGAAAATTCCATATTATGAGAATTTTAATGAAAACATATGATGCAAGATTGCCTCTGGGCTATTTGTAGAAGGTATATTTGAAACATAAGTGGATTTTGTGCTTAGGTATGGGTCCCCTATCCTAGATACCTTATTACGCATATGCAGATAGCCCCGAATTTGAAAAAAGTCATTTAAAAGTATTCTGATCGAAGCGTTTTTGAGTAATGGGGACTCAACTTGTGTAACAATGGGAATATTGCTTTTTAATGAGGCAGCTACATTTTGCAACGTATTTATTTCCTTTCTTCTTTTTTTGACAGGAAAAACTAACTCAAGAGTGTGTCTTCAGAGAACAGTTTGAAGAGAACTGGTACAACACCTACTCTTCCAACCTGTATAAACACGTGGACACCGGAAGGAGATACTATGTTGCGTTAAATAAGGATGGGACTCCAAGAGAAGGGACCAGGACTAAACGGCACCAGAAATTCACACATTTTTTACCTAGACCAGTGGACCCTGACAAAGTACCTGAACTATATAAGGATATTCTAAGCCAAAGTTGACAAAGACAGTGTCTTCACTTGAGCCCTTAAAACATAACCACTATAAATGCTTTCATGCGGTGGGTTCTTATTGATTAGCAGTGCCGTCACCTCAGCTCCACTGTTGCCAAACTTTGTCGCATGCATATGTATGATGGAGGCTTGGATGGGGACTTGCTGATTTGCTCTGCACTTACTGGCTGGTCCTCCTGGAGGGCTGCCTGGGGCCACTTGCTCGATTTATTGTGAAAGCAGGGGAGAGAGGCTGCGTGAGAGGGTGCGAGTGCGTGAGTGGGTGAGTAGAGGGGGACAGCAGCGCGCCAAGAGGACGACGGCCTGATGCATGCTGGGAAATAGACACGCTTTTACATTTTTGATCAGTTGAACTTCATCCTATATCAGCACAGCTGCCATACTTCAACTCATCAGGATTTTTGGCTGGTGGCCTGCTCAAGGGAACACTGCCTTTCCACAGGCGTGGAGGGCGCAGTCTCACTTAAAAGACTATCAGTTCATTCTCGCTGGTATCATAGCCCAGTGAACTTAAAGCAAAGACCTCTTAGTTTAACAGAAATAAAAAAAGAAAGAAAAAAGAAAAGAAAAAAGAAAAAAAAAACAAGAAAAAAGAAAACAAGAGAAAAAGGTTAAATTTATTTATAGAAATTCCAAAGGCAACATTTTATTTATTTTATATATTTATTTATTATATAGAGTTTATTTTTAATGAAATATGTACAGGCCAGATAGGCATTTTGGAAGCTTTAGGCTCTGTAGGCATTAAATGGCAAAGTCTGCTACGAACCTGTGGTAACTTCAAGTAGGTATATGAGAAATTCTAATGGCCCTAATGTACTAAAGGCGACAATCTATTTTGTGCCCATATTATTATTGTAAACTTCTGCACATCGCTCATGACACTGAGTATTCACTCTTCAGACTGCTTGTTTCATAGCTTACCCCAGAGGATTAAAGATAAACTGGGTCTCAACCCTTATTCCGTGTCTGTAATTTTCCTCTCCCGTGACGCAGTCTCTCGGTGTAGCGGGCGGTTGGAAGACGTGAGGGTTGGTGTGTGTCGTGTTTTAATCTGTGGCAGAGCGTACCAAAGCTAAGCATGACTGTGCTCTTTAACTCGGCCCACCTCCATGACGACATCAGACATGGCGCTGATTTAAAGTCCCTAAGGGAGAGGAAAAAGTTTACCTAGCTCTTCTCCTCCTCCTCTTTTCCTTCTTCTCCTCCTTCTCTTCTTTTTCTTTCTTTCTTTTTTTTTTTTTGAGGCAAAAATCAGATGAACAGGATCATTCTTGTAAACTTTTTATTTGTGTCTTGGCTATCAAATATGGAATTATACAAGGACCCTAGGGCTCATTATAACATCTTTTATGGAGATTGCATTTGGTGTGAACTGTCATAATTATATGGGGCTAGTACCCTTCAAGTAAAACTTGCAAAATGAAACCAATAAATCTTTATCAGTCATGATATTAGAGGGGTACTGTACTCATTGCCTGTGCTTTCTTTTCTGATTTGGTCTTCAAGAGTGCTCAGAGAACAGGTTACTGTACAGAACACTGTTTACAAAATCTTTTATAACATTTGATGCTGAAAAGCTCAAGAATACATATTTATTTGATAGTAAAAATTCTCCTATTGGGCAAAGGGAGATCATTTATTTCTTACTATATACTAAGGTGAAAAGAGCCAAATTCTTGAAGCAATATTTAAGAAACATTATCACTTTCTATCCAGTTAAAATTGGGAAATTAAAAGTGACAGTTAAAAAAAAATGTATTTGAATTTCTGCAGCTAACTTTAAGATGCAATATTCTGGCCTTGTTTTGCTCGGATGCACATTCACGATGGGAAATGAAAGCATGTCACTGGCAAGCTAACACTGTTGTGAGCTAGTGTGCCTGATCTCCTGTTGTGAGCAAATCCACACAGCCCTCTATGGTCCACGCTGGAGCGCTTGGGGATGTGCCCGGCTGAGGAGCATCAGCGAAGAGCTGGAGCCTTGTGTTTGGAATTGAAAGATGCCTTAGAGAGAGGAACCAGACTATGTCTGTGATGTAGTTGGAAGGATAAAGATCAGAATGTCTTCTTTTCCCCCTTCAGTTTCTAAACAGGAGCTGTGTTGAATTTTGAGCAGTGTTCTTATTTGTTATTTAACACTTTGCTGCTAAGATGTATACATATTTAGACTTCTGTTTTTCCAGAAGGATATATTTTGTTTCATTTTATTTTTCCTGAAAAACACTCAACATTGGCCCACAGGAAAGAATTAGGTTCATAGAATGTCATAGCTATAATATCTGAAGAAATATAGCCAAAAAAAAATCATTAAATATTAGGGGTTCCAAAAAGTCATCCCCAGAAGAATGAAAAAGAATTGTGCAAGAACTAAAAGTTTTCACACATTCCCAGCAAATGCTACTTTAATATCTACTTTTGGACTTTGTTTTGGTACTTTTTTGTTTGAAACAACAACAAAATGTCTGCTTTTGGTAACCAGTACAATAAACTGTAATGGTCTGTAAATAAATAAGTATTGATGTATGCAATTTATGTAAATAGGAATTCTGGGAGAGAAGATGGCTCAGGGTTTCTGTGTGTCACCCTGAGAAGTAGACGGATCATTCTCAGCCCTTGGGTTTGCATCCGGGTCAGTTCCTACTATAAGAGCTGCAAAGCCTGTTGGATGGCAGCCCCAAGCCACTGTGGGCTGGGCTATTCCAGCTCACAGGCAGATGCTCGGATAGCCCAGCCGCTCTCTTGTTGGTGCCAACACCATCATGGTCAAAGACTTAGCCAGGGTGGACTGAACCACCTTCCCATCTGTCATGCAAATGTCCCCAAGCAGTGTTGAAGGACATGCCAGGTCAGCGTTGGAGCCTGCCCTGCCAGGTCCTGTTTTATTCAGTGGGTGGTATTTTCACTAGTTCATCTCATTAACACCACAATATTGTGTTATTTACTTGATAATCTGTATTTGTAATGGAAAAAAAAACCATACAGGATTATGAACTTTGTGTAAATACATAATTACAGACTTTGGAAAACTGGTAGTTTTTACTTGATGTCCATTTTGGAGGTACTTCAGATTCTCTGCCTACGTGAACTAGTGAGATTTAAAAACCAGTCTCTTTGCCTTTCTGTCTTGCCTGTGCAGTGAAAATGAACGGAAGGGCTGGGCGAGTGTGGAGGATGGGGGAGGAACAAACACATTCACTTTTTTCCCCCTCCTGTGAGCATTCAGTGAAACAGCCAGGAATCTTCTGGGACAAAGATTTATGAACTTGAAGGGAGCACAGGCAGCATGTTTGCACGCTGTTTTTGTGGATGGATTAATGGACAATGGTGATTGTCCGAGGTCAGATTCTGTTTGCTGCATCACTTGACCTTGAAATGTGCCAAATTTAGATGCATAGTCTGTGGTCACGTGCACGAAAGAGCAATGAAGTGGTGGAGGTGATGGGCAAAATGCCAGCTGAACTCAAAGGATGTGTGAGCCACCAAGGCCCCTCCAGGATGTGTGTGCCTGTGTGGTCTACACATCTGCGGAGGCTGACATTTTAGTCCTGGAAGTGGGGCGGGGAAGAATTACAGCAGTACACAAGCTTGGCCTTCTTCAGGACGAACCCGAAATCCAGGGATCCAGGCTTGTAGAATGGACGCCGACAACGGAAAGCTTGCTGAAAGATGTCTGAACAGAATCTCATCCTCCACTTAAACACACAAACAAAAACCAGATCAAAACAAATCAGCAAACCTAGAACACTTTTGTGCTTGTCCTTAGGTCTTTAGGGAAGTGTTTGGTGATGCAACCTAATCCCATTAGAAAAGAAACTAGAGGAAAAAAAGAAAAGATTCTGCCATGGTTTCCTCCAGGAAGAATGTGGCAGTGAGCACCCTAACGAGTTATCACCCACTGTCATGGCTGTCAGGCCTCCAGACAGCTGCACCACTCTCGGGTCACACAAGTGTTGGTGAGGCTTCTCGGCTATTTTGGTTAGTAGTGAGGACATTCTAAGAATTCTCTTTGTTCTCCGGCTATGTCTCAGCTTGTATTGTGGAAAGAATTATTAAAATTTAACTCAAATTAGGAATACTTACGGCTTATTGACTGTCTGAAAAGCCAGTGGTAAATTGCGGTTGGGGTTGCCCTTTGTCCCCTGTGCTCCCCTGAAATCCTTTAAAATATGTTTGCGGTTATAGTCGGTTCCCATTGCTGTCTGTGGACGTAGGCAGGAAAATTGACCAGCGAGAGCTGAGGAGTTAAAACGATAGGTTGACTAGCGGGAGTGTCTAGAACTCAGGGGCTGGTTTAGCTCGTCACACAGGAAAGGGCAAGCTTTATTGGTAATGTTCATGGCTTAACTTGGAGAGACCTATTTTTTTGAACGTTTATGCAGGCTTTTTCATAGCCATTTTTTTTTTTCTGGGATGTTGCAAAGCATTCTGTAGGCTCCACCTTGCTACTGCCTCTGGCTTTTAGCCCAGACATATGCACAGGGCTGCAAGTGACAGCTTTGTGTGATTTCTGCTGCTTCCTACTAGGGGCTTTTCCTAGTCTGGGAGGCTGGTAGTACGGCTTTCCAGAGGCAAGCAATTCTCCAAATCTTCCTGTATTCTACAGCTGACAAACCCCCCCCCCCCATTATTTCCCTTCCATTTTTCCCCTCACTCTCTTCTCTCCACGCTGTGGAGTGGGCTCCAGTGATGAAGTTGCCAGTGATACCCACAGAGATTAATTGAGAAGACACCATGCTGTAGCACTTGTTCTGAACCCTGGGATGAGGAAGTCGGGACTCTGAACTGTGAAGTGCACGTGACCCAAGACTAAAGGCTCCTGGGAAGGTCAGGTCAAAGGTGAAATATGAGGGTTGAGCAAGGGTTATAGAGGAGGTAGCTGTATGTTCATGTGTGAACTGTTACAAAGGCATCTGTCTGTTGGGAATATGTGTTGAGTTGCTGGGGGCATCTTTTCCTGATAGAACAGTGGCTGAGCTGGAGAGGCTCAGGGGTTTCATCTACCTTGTGGAGGATGAAGAATCTCGGTCTTGCAGCCTGACCTGGACTGACCTCTGGCCCTCAGTCTCAGTGTTAACTTGCTACTCCCAGGTTCTATCCAGACAAAGGTTGTTTCTCCAACTATACTGAATACTGCTCACTTAAAATTTCCTATCACATTGATTTAATGTCACAGGAAGGATCTGTAATACAGTAACAGAAACTTAAAACAAAGGAGGTGAAAACAGCGCAATCTTTCAGTTACTCAGTTCATTCTTTAAGTAAATATTGAGTAAGAGCTGCATGACATAATACAGTACCGGGGATGAAATAGTAAAAATAGGCTGGGTGTTATGGCTGGATTGTACCTGTGATTCCACGGTCCCTGAGGCTGATGCAGGAGGATTTCTGTGAGTCAGAAGTCAGACTGGGCTGCTTAGTAAATTCTAGGATAGTCTTAGCTGTATCACCAGATCTTATCTCCACCCCCAAACTAAAAGCCAAACCCACAAAATACCTGTCTAAAACAAAACAAAAGGAAACAAAGCAGTGAACAAACACAGAGCCAAAAACCTTAAGGGCCAGTGAGATGGCTCAGTGGGTAAACTTATTTGCCACTAAGCCTGACACCCTGAGTTTGATCCCTGGGACCCACTTGATGGAAAGAGAGAACCACCTTCCACCAGTTATCATCTGACCTGCACATGTGGCTTGAGCATGATCAGACACACACACACACACACACACACACAGAGAGAGAGAGAGAGAGAGAGAGAGAGAGAGAGAGAGTTAAAACCCCAAGGGCTGAAGAATTGGCTACTGGTTAAGGGCACTTGCTTCTCTTCCACTTCTGCTTCAAGATCAGACATATGGTGCCTACTTAGGGCATTGTTAGATTGGGATGCCCACATGATGAGGCAGTCTCAGTAATTTCCTGAAGCTCACGTTTCTTCAACGATGTATTTGATTTACAATGACACATGGCGACTCAGGAGCAGCCCCATTCATGCCTTGCTGCCTTAACCAGGACATTTGAGGAGGCTATCCTCAAATGAAGTGATCTAGACTGTTGGATAGATTTTTTTTCTTAGAGATGAGTTCCTTTAGAAATCAGCAGACCACCTCTTCCCCACTCTTCCTTTCTTGGGAGACCCACAGGGAGATGCATAAAGAGAGTCTCCCGAGAGCACAGGTGGGTAGACGCGTTAACTGTAATACTGGAGACATAAAATTGCATTTTGGTTTTGGGAGCAAAACCACACATTTTGTCTGTCTTCACCAGAATTACAAATCTGTAGTTAATATGCTTCTTGTTTTCTCTAATTTTCTTCTACAGTTGAAGGTGTACCATGGATTATCCCTTTTGAAAAGACAAACATGTTGAGGTGTCTCTTACAGAATAAGCAGAATGAACATAGTGTGATAGTTTCTGCAGTTCCCCAGGAAAGTTTTATGATCTTGAATGGGGCTGAGGAAATTGAGTTACGGCAGTAGTCAAGGAAGGGCATGTTGGCAAGAAAAGAAACTTTTGTGTCTTTCATGATGGAGCTTGGTTGGGTGGGCATGCGCCAAGCCAGCATCTGAAGAGCCATCCAAAGATGGATGAGGGCTGCGGGGACCCATTGGTAAGTGGACAGGCAATTCACAACTTCACATTTTGTGTAATGTGCCTGAAAAACCCTTCCTGTTTCTCTGGACATATTTCCCACACAAGCAGGGTGAATTCTGCTGATTATATCTCAGCATCTTTTTCTAACTGCAGATGTAAAGTGCTTATTTTTGCTATGGTAGATTTGTAGAATAGAAGATTAGATCTACAATGCTACCTGTTAAAGTACATGGACAAATGTGCCCTTAGGTACAGTCTAATCCATCCCTTCCACATCTAGATTTCCCCAAAGAGATTTCAGTGTTTGAGCCCTACTCTGTATTCTGTGTGGTTCTAAATGTGTTTCAAGTGGGTCACTGCCTTAAAATGACCAACATGGATTTCATTTTTTTGTTGTTTATATCCCAAGGAGCTGGTTTCAACAGACCATATATATATATATAGTTACATTAACATATATATTTAACCATAAGGATGTCAGCTAATATGAAAATTAAAAAATAAAATCTGGGGTGATGAGATGGCCCCGTGGGTAAGGGTGTTCGCTCCACAAGCCTGGTGGCCTGAGAACCTATGTGTCTTAGTTATTTCTCTAATGCTGTGATAAAACATCATGCCTGAGTTGACTTGGAAGGTGTTTAACTGGGTGGTTAGCATCCGTGATGCCAGAGCCCAGGCCCCAGCGGTAGGGCAGCTGAGAACTCACAGGCTGATCTGCAGGAGGTGAAGGGAGCACGCTGAGGATAGGAAAGCTCAAATCTCATCTCCAGTGACCCACTTTCTTCAACAAAACCACACCTCCCAACCTTCTCCAAACAGTGCCACAAATTGGGGATGAAGCATTCAAGCTACGAGCCTATGGGGGTCATTGTCATTCACACCACCGTACCATGTAGCGGTAGAAAGAGAGAACCAACTACACAGAGTTTCCTCTGACATCTATTTACCGACAATGGCACACCCACGCTCTCTCCCTCCCCCTACATCGCTTACACACATTAATAATTATACATAAATGAATTATAAACAACATTTTATTGCAGTCTGGATAATAAAAATAACTTTCTGTTGTTATGGATTACATTTGATGCATTACATGAAAATTCATCAATTACTGAGCCTAATTTTTCGATCATTACCCAACATGTACATTATATTCAATGTATGGCTTATAGCCAAATTAAAAAATCAAGTAAAGAGAAGTTGTTTTTTTAATTTATTATTTTGTTCAGCAAGAAGCACACACACACTCTCTCACACACACTCTCTCACACTCACTCACACTCACTTACTTTATATTCCAGGATTATGAAAGTAGAAA